CGCGCGAGCCCGAGTTCGGCTTGTAGCTCATCGACGCGGTGCGTCGCTCGGCGGCGGCGCCAAACTTGGTCTCGAGCATCATGGCGGAGGCCTGCGCGGCCTCGCGCTGCTGCTCCTTGTGGGCCGCCACGACGGCCAGAGCGCGCTTGAACCAATGCGCATTCTTGGCCTGCGTCGCCGCCATGAGCTTGGATTTGCGCTCCGCCGACTCCTCAACGCGAGCCGAGAGGGAGGCAAGCTTCTCAGCCCGCTCTGCTTCGGCGGCGGTCCGCGCCTTGCGTGCCTCCTCCGCCCTCTGCGTGCGGAGCAGGGCCTTGGACGCGGCCTCGGTGGCCTTGGCCTCGCCGTGGCACTTGTCACGGGACGCGGCGCGGTCGAGGCGGGCCTGCGGGTGGCGGGGCCAGAGCCAGATCAGTGGGGAGCAAGCGGAGGGCGAGAGTGCCGGTGCTCAGCTGGGGAGGGCGCTCAAGCGAGCTCGCCTGCAGCCGCTGCCGCTCCGACTCCTCATGCCGAAGGCGGCGCGCCTTTTAGCACTTGTAGCGAGCGCACATGGTGCGGTGCGCGTACTTGAGCAGGCGGTGCGAGCCGCAGTTGGCGCAGGGGCCCTGGGAGTCGTGGGCGCGCGCGGCATTGACGCGGACCCAGGTATTTCTCGGGTATACCTGGGTTTTTGCAGGTATACCCGGGTTTTACCCGGAGGGTGTGCCAACACCGTGCTAACGGCTGTGCTAACGCTTGTTTTGGGACTGCCGTTCGACTGTGCTAACACCGACCTTTGCGCCAAGTGTTGGCACGATCTGTAGTCAGTGCTGCCCCTGGAGGTGTGCTAATGTTAGTCCACCAACCCTGCCGTGCCTCGTTCGCCGCTTATGATGTAGAGTTTGTTGTAGAGATTTCACGTTGTAGAGCGCCTCTACATCGCTCTACAACGCAGGCGCTTCGTCCCGCGGCGGATGTAGAGCTCTACAGCTCTACAGCGCTCTACAGCTCTACAGCGCTCTACAGCTCTACAGCTCTACAGCGCTCTACACTCTACATCCTCTACACCCTCCCTCAGAGACCGGGCCGCCCCGTGGCCCCGTGGCCGTTGCCTCGCGTGGGTTTATGTGCTGTGTATCGCGCGCCTTGCGGGGGGGGCGCGGAAAAGAGGAACCTCTTAGCGCCATCGCCATGGCGCTGCTTTTGTGTGCCCTCTGTCAGTGTGCTATGTCACTGACAGAGTGACAGTAGACAGAGTGACACCTGACACTGTGTGTGGTTTGGATTTTTTGGTGGATGGTCCATTCAGCATTCTGGTGCGGTTCCGGGGTATCCGGGCCTATGGCGTGTTACTGTGTTAGCTGTTACACGTCAAGGCACACGGCGGCTCACACGCGGGGTGCGGTACGCGGTAGAGCCGTAGCTGGTAGATCATGGTTCATGCGCGCCGAGCCCGAGGATAGAATGACTCAATGGTCCACAAACGTCGACACACGAGCGCAAAACATTTAAAGACAGGTTCTCTTCACACAACAGCACAACCACGGGCCCGAAATCGCACGACAGCACTCTTCACAGCCGAAAAAGGCATGCCCTGCCAAGCTCCCTGCGCGGGGTAACAGCTGTCGCGCGGCCTACCAAGGCGGGGTTGTCATT